CATACCACCTGCAAGCAATTCTGACAAGACAATACTGAACTCCCTCCAATTATGGCTAAATTACTGCCTAGTATTCAAGATAGGTTTTGGAAAAAATCCCAAGTTTTCTTCCCCATGGTTTGGAGACTTTTTTTACTGCCACGAGGCTCCACATTACCAGATTTTTCTTCAGATGTCCTAGTTCTGGAGGAACATGAGCACAGAGATAAAATATCCATTGATGGTTTTCACTACACAATGTGAAACAGCTCAGATTCTTCAAGGCCCCTCTTCCTCCCACCCCCTAAAAATGGAACTTCTTCCTTTTTTTAATTTTTTGGGGTTTTTTTTTTCTTATAGTAAGACACTGATAGGAAAAATTAATTTCAAGTTTTACCTCAAAATGGTTCTCTTCCCGCAAGTTTTAACTACGGGCAACATTAGGCTTGAAAATACTTTAACATCAACGATTTAACCAAATTCTGGGATATATTACTATTAACAAGCTAATTTGTAGTAACTACTCCCCTGGAATACAACTTCCTTCAGAAGGCCTTTCTCAGACTCCTGCCAAGCAGATCTGGACTCTAGGCTTGAAAAACTGAGCTTCCGTTTTGAAGATGAGAAAACATTAGAATGGTAAGAAACTGAGAAGTTAAACGAGTTCAGACCTGCTCACACCAATGTGAGAGATGCTTGTCTAAAATTGTAAGATTTTAATGGGTCAGTTAAGCTTGCCAAAGCCACAACAAAAAGGAAACAATTGTTCTATGTCAGGCACTCCATCAGACAGCAGTGATACCCTTGTTCTTAGGGGAAAAAAAGGAATCAAAGCAATAGGCCACTGAGCTTTATTCTTTTGCTGACTAAATTTATCATGCTAGAATTTGTTCCTATGACAGTCACAACCTCCTTAGCCTATTTTTACATTTTGCTTCTCTTTTAGAACTACCTCCTCAATGCAGAGGTTGCTCCACATTCTGTTCTCACCAATTCAGAAACATCCTGTTCATGATGAGTTTCTGGTTCCTCACGGCTGGATGTTATACACATTCATGTGTATAACAAGTGTGATTCAAATATGATATGAAATTATTTCTGGGCAAAAATCAAATCAGCTTATGGCACAATGAAAAGGGCTGAGCACAGCCTCCAACAATTCTTACAGCAATTCTGGTTTTCCTTTCGCCATCCTCAAGAGAACTCAAACTACACGTGGGCTTCATTGCTCTCATTGGCTTCATTACTGATATCCAGTTTTTAACCAGAAAATTTATAACAGATCAGAATCTGGAGATTCAGATCCGATTATTAAATCTAAAGCATGGAAGCTCTAGATTTTTATTGCTATCTCCATGTGTTTCTTTTAAGTAATTTTTGCTTTATAGCATCTCTTCTTCTACTGGGTACACTCAGTGACTATTTTTAGACCTCTACAAATTCCTCTAACATCCATAATTTTTGATTCAACCTTTTATTTTCTAAGAATTAGAAATTTCAATTAGAAATTGATGAGTTACTCAGTAAAGCATATACAAACCAGGGAAGTATTAAATCATTGTACAATTGTGTTATTTTTTGTATTTTCACATCCCTTTATGATTTGATTATTGGGGTTTAAATGCGCTTTGCAGACACACACAAATTCATTCTGATGGCCTCACTTTTCTTACAATAAAATACAAGATTAAACAAATTATTTTATAGCAGAAAGAGCAGAAAATCTCAATCCAGAAGATTAGAACAAGTCAGGGCCCACCATGGATGCTGTCATGTTAAGTTAACTGGTCAGAGGACAACCAGAGGATAAATTCTCAGCCACAGAAGGCTAGGCAACTGCAAGTTAGGGCCATCAGCCACCTCTTCTCTGGCCTAAAAAGGGCCAAGAAACAAGGATTTACAGTGGTACCAAAGGTACAGTGAATATCCACTGTCAAAATACTTTTAATGTTGGTTTTTGAGAAACCACTGAAGGAAAATCTGCAAAGTACTAGATCCTCCAATCATAACCAATTCCTGCTTTCATGCTGCAGGAGAACAGCAATCCCAGAATGACACCACTAAACATTATAAACAGAAAACTAGTGCTTAGAGAGTTAATACAATCTGACAGTTCCTTAAGGTACCTTCTAATTACAGCATTAAAAGGCAATCAGCAATTTCTATGTAAGCAAACCATCAACAGACAGCTGCTTACTTGTATTTGAAAAATGTCCTTTCACAGCACAATGTCTTGCATACCTGATAACTAAAAATTTAGTTATACTGGAATATTAAAAGAAACTGGATATTGCAAATGGTTGACAATCCAGTCCTTTAACAACAGTGCCTTCGTGTGTTTATTACAGGCATTTTATTATTTTAAAGCTAAGATTCAATCACATTTTATAGTTGTAATACTGTCCTCCTACACATCCACAAGCAAATTAGGTCAATTCCAAACTATTTGTAAAACCTCCTTCATAGAAAGCAGTTTGAGATTTTAAAACATAGCAAGTTTAAAATAAACAAAGTCAACCTACCAGTGTCATAAGCCTTGTGAACTGTCAATTTTTTGTTCTAGTCTAATAAAGCCTAACTAATAAGAATCAAATTGTGAGAATGACTGGCCTTGGCCAGAGATTGCATGCACACCACATTTCATAACATTTTAATAATGTTTATTATGTAAGTTTCCCTAATTAACTTCTAACTTATTTCTACATTTGGCATCTGTAACATCCTGTGGCAATGAGTTCCAATATGTAATTATGTGTTGCATGAAAAAAATGCTTATTTTAAACCTACTGCTGGGTAAGAGCTAGGAGTCATCAAAAATGTGTTAGAAGAAATGATGAATAATCATGCTCCCCTCATCCTCTCCATAACGTTAGTATCTTTATATACCTCTTGTAATTCTTGTGACCTCATTTCTTTTCCAAGTGGCAGAGCTCTAATCATCCTTTTCAAACACAGGTATCTCTTTCCCCACACATAACCTGCTTGTTCTTATTGAAAGAAAGGACATCTGCAACTGTTTGTACTATTCCAGATTGGCCATGGATGTTGTCATGATGTTTGTATAGAACAATAATGCAATTGCAAGCCCTCTTTTTTGGGTAAAAACAATTTAGACTGCCATGCATGTTAAGTTACCCAGTTCCCTCCTGCAGGCATTACTGAATAACACTGTACAGTTAATGCACTTGCCATTCCACTAATCTGTTATCTTGCATTATCTTCCCAAAACTGTTCATGTTCACAGATTTGGGGGACCTTTATATTGTGAATGCTGTATGGATACAAGCTGTTATTTTGTTGTTTAACCCCTTTCACAGATTTATGAAAGCAGCAAAGATCTTCATATAGATCACTGTAGGAGTCTATTCTTGGTTTGTGATAACTGACCTTCTATTCTCACCCTTTTTTTTTTCCATCTTAAATAGTTATTTACCTGAAAGGACTTCTCACTCACTTCTGTGACGATGTGATTTCTTCAAGAAACTTTGGCTGCAGTTGACATGGTTGCTTAGGATGGTTAATTCATGTGGGATTTACAGTTCTAACACAACCATGGACTCACATCCAAGCAAGCTATAATCAGTCTACAACAGTCATGGTTCTTCTTTGTTGTTTTATATCGTACACATTCATTTTTCATATTTATAAGGACACATCTCATTTGATTCTATGAAGTTTTAATTCATTTTTATAAAGACAGAAATAAAAATTTCTGGGCTGTAGCTTCATATAAAATTATGTTACATTTCCAAATTCAGTGATTATGGATGCAAATTAGTCCAGATCTGTTGAGTCTACCCTGATCAGTTTGTTATTTTTTAATCAGCTTGCTCTAGAAGTGTTCCCCTAATACTTGAGTGTTAAGCAGACCACCTGAGACATCCTAAGTAGGCTCTAGTGCAAAAAGCTTCATATACCCTCTATAATTAACACAAATGCAAAAAGTGTCTTTGTGAGATTCAGTGCTAAACACTTATCTTCTGCTGATATACTCCCAACATCTTGATCCTTACTGGGCCTGGAGACTGTTAGGTTTCTTGTTTCTGATGTGTCTGAAAAAATTATCAAAGCTCTTTCTGTGCCTGTCTTCTGGATTTCACACATAACTTGCCAGTTTTGTGTCCAAGTGTTTCCCACATTGGCTTACAATTCCTACTTTATGAAGTCTTTCTTTACCTGCTACAGATTTCCATCCTTTACAGTTTAATAATACTGAGTCTGGGGCATTTTTTCTTCCAGTATGACAGATGGCAGTGTTTACTTTAACATTTAATATGGTAGCTCTTGATACCACTAAAAGCCTTATCCTTTTAGCTGTTCATTTTAACAATTTCCTAAGATTCATGCTCCCTTAGGCATAGTTTTCTCTGTAAAATGTTATGGCAACATATTTTATACTTGCTCTTAAAACAATAAGGCAACCATATTCATTATAATTAGTCCTGTAGCGCAGCCCAACAATAATTTCACCTTAAGCTCTTGCTCATTGCACAGCTGTCAAGAGCTACTCCTGTTATGAGCTGACAGCTTGTCAGAAAACTCAATACATCATTCTTCACTTCCACATTTACTGAGTCTTCATACACATAACAAAACCATGTAAAAGCAGTAAATGTTTCTTCCCTCAGCATCCTTTAGCACTTCACAGTAATGTTCCACCCCATTAACATGGTTAATCTAACCCTCACCTTATTGTGACTGTTTGCACACAAATTCAAACCATAAATATGCTTTCTTGTCCAGACATACATAGCCTTGACTATGACCTTAACACAATAATGCATCTCTCAGAATAGAGTTTGTATTCTCATGTCTATAAATATGTTTACCCCTATACAAACATCCTCTTGTACCAATTTAATGTGAGGTCAAATATGTCAACATCTGAATTTCAAACCAGCATTCCAGATCTCAGACTCAATTTTTCACCTTTCAGACTTTGTCCAGAAGATCATCTATAACTGCTAACTAACTGATTTTTTACTAAAACTCATAAAAAGAAGCAATTGGAAAATACATACATGACGGTGTTAATCCCTGACAGTTGTTGAAACATCTGCAGACCACAACCCACAATTAAGGCTCTTCGAGTTGGAGGGTATGTTAGCATTCTGCAGATCACAGGTCCAGCTTAAAAAAAACAAGACAACAACAAAAGAATACATAATAGTTCTTAAGTGATCGCTATCAAGACAATGTTGCCAGGCATAGCAGACTTTCCACCTTAATTTCAAGCAAACTTGTATTATTGCAATTATTTTTGAACTGTTTGGCAATTTAAGTTCTTCTTTTCTGCACTGTATTACCAAGAGGATTATCAGGAAGCCCAAGCAAAAAAAATGAAAACATTTTTGTACAATGTCTTCTGCTGGAGTGAAATGTCCAGCTCTCCTTATATCACACTAATAGATTACACATCAGCTGCAACTGAATGTACTCAAACATTATCACAAAATGTCACTGTTGTTTCCTTTCTAAAAGTTTCCATTGTTATTGATTTTGAGAGCCACTGTTATTGTTATTGATAGTTACTGCTCAGGTCTGGGTATTGGAGATAAAGTATTCTCCTTTGTCCCCTAAAGACCCAATTTCCATGAACCAGTTGCAGGTGTGGGTACTTTGAAGGTACTGGATAGATCTATTCTGCATAGCTTGGAGGCCAGTGGAGGGAGCAGAAATTAATACATTTATTCTATACCTTTGGTAGCAATGGCATGAGGCTGAATTTAAGATTCCCTCAAAGAAGAAAAAAACAATGAACAAAATTCCTGGTTAACAGAGAAAACTCTAAGACTTCAAAAGTATCCTATTAAAAAAAAATAATAATAATACAGAAAGCTATGGGATAATAAGCAAAAATTTAAAATCCCTGACTACAGTATTGACTTGAACTTCTCTCTGCCCAGAGTAGACCTTTTAGTACTTTTTCACTAGTACAGCCTGGTGAAAAATTCTAGCTTTTATACATCTTGTCACATCTAGCACATTTACTCCGAACATCTAATCACAATATGAATAACTAAAAAGAGTTGCCATCAAAGAAAAATAAAAAGAGAGAGGTGAAGTGGATCTACATTTATATGTTTTCAGTGTTTCCTGAACATACAGAAAATATTTTAAGTATTGATTCAGTAAAAAACCCTAAATGAGTCTATTAGTGAAGAACAATTTACATGCAGAATTTCAGCTTCAGAAAGCTGGAAAGCTATGAAGAGCTGCAAGAGCTGGACTCTAGAAGGGGGTTTAGATAACATTTTCTTCACTGAAAGATAATCAGATTTACCTAAGAAAAACTTACTTTCATTTCAAATTATGGTATTTCTAATTCATATCTCAATTGTATCATCATTTAACTTTTCTTCTTTGATAGCAGAACACAGCTTGACTAATTTTCTAGCTGGTTTCCAAGTAACACTAGCAGTCAGACAGTACACAGTCCTATGTGTCCTGCCATTTAGCCACATCATTACCTCAAAAAGCCTCCAAGTAAAATCAAGTGACGGTATTGTCAATATATAGATCTCAAAAGAAATCTATATATTGTCAATCTATAGATCTCATAAGATATTCCCAGACAAGACTCATGACATCACTGGGCTGACAAAGGTTCCATACTCAAAGTGGCATTTCCTCCGTGGAAAAGCAATGAAGCCAGAACTTGCTGCTAGCTAGGAGTAGTCCAAAGCTCAAATTTCACAAAGAAGAAGATTTACTAATACATGTACCCACAAAGTTTAACTCACAAACACCACTAAGGTCCTCATACCCTACATCACACCTGAGCATGGAGTCCTTGGACTTAAAAATCTTATCTGGCAACTGATTCTGCAGCATCTGGTGTAAATCCAGGCTGCTGAATGCCTACAAAAGATCTTTCATTCTTCATAAACTTTGTATAAGGTCCTTAACAGAGTTCTAAAATCTATCTTTATTTTTCAAGGGATATTTTAGACAATCTACATCTTCAAGTCCACCATCAATGACTCTGCTCATTGAATAAGCTGGAACTCTACAGCAGGTACTGTTAGGAAAGGAAGCAGTAATGTCCTAAGGAACTGAAAGGTTTTTAATAATTCCTGACTATGGATGCTAACTGTGAAGCAGAGAGCAAAGTGCCTGTGGAAATTGCAGGCCGCATAGCTTTCTCAGTCTTGCCTGAGAAAGTGGCCTGGGAAATCATGGGGAGGAATTAAAACGATCCTCAGAGATAGAAAACAGCCTTGCAGGTGCTGTTTGTCTCTTCCTTGTTTTCTTGCAAGAGAAGGTCGAGGGGTGGTGAGCCCCACTGACCAATGATGGTGATGTGTTAGTTTGCTAACCAGTAAGAGTTTCTTTTCTGTACTTTTCACGTATCGGTCTATAAAAAAGATCTGAAACAATAAACTGAGAGAAATTCTCCTGATCGACTCCTAGAGAGTCTGTGTCGTTCTTCTCGCCATTCCTAATAGAGGGACACCTGACCACTCAGCTATTTGAAAGAAGTTTATAAAACTTAATTAATAAAACAGCATTGTACAAAACAATTGGGAAGAAGGCACTAAAATGAATAGTGAGAAATTAAAGCAGCTGTTCTCAGACAATGGTTTGCAACTCAGAGGGAGTAGTGAGCTTCCAACAAAGCTCCATCACACAAATCAGTCTGTGCATCTGAAGTGCAGCCCTGAAGAAATGTTAAGACCATGTAGGAAAGTTTAGACCTTTAGAACATCCAGTCAAGTTAAATTCAGTAAGCACTTGGAATTTTTCAGACTGCTAATTAATTGGACCAGAAAAATTATGTTAAAAATTATCATACTCAAGTCAGCATTTAAAAAGTTTTGCTCCAAATATCTGCCATGGCAACCACCACATACTAATAGGCATACACAAAATTAAAGGATTGTCTTTCATAAAATCCACAGCCTTCAGGTTTACAAACCAATAAATGGAATGAAAGAAATAAACAAATTCTAATCTCTGTATTAAAGGAGCTTTACAAACTCAACTAAAAAGCCTAAACAACTCTGACTGTAAAACAGCAAATGAGCATGAAACTTTTTATTGAAACTATCTAGCTCTGAAACTAGCTATACTATATTTGTATTTTCTTATCAGAGATCCTCCCATCCATATCGTTGAGTTCAAATGTTACCATGTTCTTAAAAATAGACAGCTCTAGGCATAATATGGATTTTAAGAACAGAAAATGCATTTAAACTAAAAAATTAAAACCAAAACAAGTTTTCAGAATTAAATACATTCTTCTTCTGAAAATAAGTCTTCTGAAATCTTAAATGGTACTTCAGTAGTTTCAGATAACCCTTAAATATGCTGTTAGCTATGACAACAGATTAAAATAGCACTAAACAATAAAACCATTACACCTTTAAAAAATGGAAGAACTTAACTGCCCATAGAACTAGATGGAAACAGATTATTTAAATGTAAATCACCGAAAAAAATATTTGGCAATTTTAACAAAGGACAAAATAGTGATTTGGCTCCAAAAAGTCAATTTTTTTGTTAGTGATACTATTGCCTTAATTGTTGTTGTTTTCATCTGAGAGATTTAGACACATTCTTGCATCAGAATCACTTCATTTGAACTTGAGAAAACAACAAGATACTTAATTTCTTTCTTCTAATCTATGAATAAAAATGAAGTTAGAACGATGAGACCTCCTAATGCTTGAACTCAATGAGAATAGATTTAGTTGGACTTGTTCTGCGGTTGTTTCTGATAATTACTTTAACTGAATTAAATTTTAACACAGAATATTTACAAGGGTTCAAAACATGCTACAGTAAAGGGCAGCTGGAGCTTCCTCTATGCAAAATGACAACACAGGATAAAGAGCAATGGAAAAATAAGGATACTGCTGAAGGTGACATTCCTTGAAGTGTTTATACACAAAGTGGATTGCTGTGATCCAAGTAGATATTTCACAGCATAATCCAAACTCTCTACCAAAATAGACATTCATCCTTATAAGCAAAAAGCAAAATTAGAATTTGGAAGTTTAGCTTCACATCCAAAAAAAACCTTATTAGCTTACACTGAGCTGAACAGGAAAGGAGAAGCTGTTCTTGTCAAAACATTACTTCTGAAAGTGAGTGGTGCTCTCCAAACATTCTATTTTTTGACTGGTTATCTGAAACTTTTAATGGCAGCTTCTTACATTTTAGCAGTTATCAAAGGCAGCACAACAAAAACCCTAGCTCTAAAAGGAGCTTATATAATGAAACCTAAAAAGAAGAAAAATGAATTCTTAGTATCTCCTTCTGAAAATTAACTGTGTTCACTTCCAGGAAAAAAGAAATTGTAGTACAGACATAAAGCCAAACTAAACATCCCACAGCAAAGGCAGACAGACATCTGGTGCCTGGAAACCTTGTGACTCCCCATCCCTCAAATTATTAGTAGACTAACTGGACAGATTTCACAGCTAGGAATCGATGGTTAGAGACTAGGCCCTGCCAAAGTCATTTGCAGGTTCAAACATTCTTCTGCCAGGTAATCTAGGTAACAGCTTGTAGCAACAGCTTAAAACCTTATAGAGCTCCTGCCAGCATTTTGTACTCTTTGCATTTCCAAAAAGGCAGGTTTAGCCAAGCAACAACACAGCCACTCATCAGTTTAGCATTGATTAAGCTAAAGAGTCAGAGCAGTTTTCTGGATCTTTTTTGTTCAAATGCCCTCCCTTCCACTCAGATAAATCTTCAAGGAACTGGTCTACAGCAGGGAACAAAAAAAAAAAGAAAGTTTGGGCTGGTGATCTCAATAACAAAGGACAAACATGGGAATCACTTCTGGATTTCCCTTCCTTGTAAAGTGATAGCTTCCAGTGCAGCCTTCTCTACATCATCTGCAGAACCTTCCTCCACATAGGACTCCTACTCTAAAGCACTTACAGCTAGTTATTATTATCTGTGTATGAATAATATACTAAAACAAGCATCCGTTTCCTCCCCTTGCCTATTACATGATTATTTCCTAAAAGTATCAACCTCATTAATTTTTCCTTTCTGTAAAATTTAACAAATCAATTAGAAAAAAGAATTAGCTTTAAGATCAAAACTGCATTAATTATCCTGTGAAGATACAAACCAATTTAACTTGGGTACCATGCTCTTCCTCACTATCTTATAAT